CCTGCTGACTCCTGCTGTTTTAGTGAAGTGTCAGTTCTCTTTCCTGACCAGACAGCAGTGAGATGCAGTGAGGATGAATGACAGCCTCTCACCTCAAATATACTTTTCACCAGCCCACTGACTTATGAACGCATGTCCTCAATGTATCTTATGACCCATAGGTCATATATTACAATATATAACATATTGAGAAAACCAACTGGGCATAAAGCATTTCTTACCTCCGTTAGCATTGCATGTTTGCCAGTGTAGTTAAGATTGTGTCAGCACTTCCAGGATAAACTTCCAGATATTTCAGGTTTTTTCATAGTTTCTCATTTTCTCCAGGCCAACTCTAAGTGGAAAAATAATACCTACATTATTATTTAACTACATCTTAAAATTATCGATCAAGTTGATTTTAAAACACAGCAGTAAAGAACAAAACTTTGCATTAATATGCCAATTTTTTTCAAAATTTGTTTTTGGTACTGTGTGCTATGTATATGATATATACATATTTTGTGAATATACTTTAAGCAGGATTATCTATGCATAGGTTAAAAAAACAGTCTATTTCTCTAGCATCCTGCTACCTGACACACTTGGTCATTTGAAGCTAGGTTAACCAAAGGTAAGTTGTCCTTCAGAGCAAAGGAGTATTTCTAAGGAATTTTCATTTTCTTGCAAGTTTACCTCTACAAAAGTCATATTACAGCAAACCTTATCTGCTTGTAATGCTTTTAAGAGATAATGGCAGTAATATTATTCGTACCATTTTATGAATAAAAAGTGATCCACAGATAGAATAGGAAGTGCTCCTTTAGATTAGTAATAATAATTGATTGCTTAGTTAAAAAAAAAAAGGTTAAAAAATGTTTCAAAAGACAGAAATCAAGACATTTCTAATTAAGGTACGTATGCTACTCCTAATTCACAAGAAAAGGCTGATTTTAATTAGCATTCCACTTGCACCTTTTGTTTGTTTATGAGAATATGTATCCTATTTCCATTGCATTTAAAGTAATTCTGTTCCTTTTGTAGCAGCAGTACATTCATTATTCTTAACCACTTTTTACAGTTTGGTTGCTGATGTTGTGGTGTTCAACTCTGCTTTTAATATGGAATCGTTTCTTACATCCATTGGAAAATTTATGAAGCTGATTCCTGACCACAGACCTAAGGATTTGGAAAAAATAATCAGACCGAAGTGCCAAGTTCTTTATTTTCCAGTCAGGTTTCCTGATGTGAGCAGGTCAGTACATTTTCCACGTCATAAATTGCCTCCAGCCTGTCAAAACTCTCTATTTATGGTGACGTTCTAACTAATCAACTAAAGCATTGTTAATGAAAGAGTTTGATAATATGCAAAATCCCCTAATTGATAGATGTATTTCAATAATCAGAGGCTATTCAGGCAGCATCTGATCCGCAGAGCCTGTCCTTAGTGCCTGTCGTACAAACTTGCCTCGTTCAGGATGAGTGATTTCCCACTTGTTTTAGTGATTTCCCACTTGTTTTAGTCTTTAAGGAGTTGCCTGCTCCTCAGCTCTGTATATATTTGTACAGGGGAGGTCAAGGAGGAGAAAGAAGTGCTAGAGAGCAGTAAAAGTGATAAGCCTGTAGTCAAGAATCTGTATTTCCCTCGGTGTGTTGCAGTGGGATTTTATTCCCTCCTCCCTCCCCTACCTCTTCTTTTATTGCTTTCCAGGTAGGCGAAAAGCGTCCCAGTAGCAGGGAGCAGACTTGCAGATGTTGGCATTAGCTGCAGCCGTAGTTGCTCTTCAGTCTTCCTCGGTTACTCTGAAGGACGTTTTTTATTACTCTCGTTTCAGAGCCCGTCTTGAAATTAGTGGTGGGTTATGTGGCTCAAAGGGAACATTCGCTAGATCCTTTTCACTTTTGATTAAACCTGGCACAATTGTTTTTCCTGTTATAAGGGACTCTTCTCCCACCGAACAGGAACTTTGCTTCAGTGGGACCAGTGCTAAATAGAGAATGATTCTGCAATTTGATTATACTCTTAAAACCAACACAATACTGGTACATTATTTTTTTTTGTTGTTGAAATAAGGATGGAAAGCACTGTAATGACTCTGCAGGAGTCCGGCTTTTGATCTGATAATAAGTTCTGGCCGCGCTTGAGATCTTTGTCCCTGACTGGCTTGTAGTTAACAGTTATTTCAAAGGCTAAATATGCATTTGTGGTAGTTTGGGGTACAGAGGTTTTTAGCGCAGAAGTCCTGCGCTCTATTGATGTTCATGCTGCAAGGTTTGCATTTCAGGAAGTTGGAAAACTTTTATATTCTAAAGCACTGGTGCAAATCGTTTAAAAATGAATGTCTAAAGTGAAGTCTTTAAGCCCACATTTTTGTGGGTTAAAATCCTCTGGTGTTCCACAGGGTCTTGGCTGCCTGGATGGCAGTGGAGATCAGTACCTATATATCTTTGAGGATCTGCTATTGCTTTGTAGAGACCATGTTTTTCAAGAGCGAGGGAATGCTGGGGATGCTCAGCATATTTGACATCGAGCCATTTTAAAAGGATCTCGTGGTTTTTTGGCATACCTTTGGAAGTCATGTGGCCCAAGCCTAGTTTGGGAGATGAAGTTGTGATAGCCCTGTCTCTTGTATTAAATCAGTTATTTTGGAGTTGTCAGCCCTGGCAGATGGGGTCAAACGAGACCTGACAAATTAGTCCGAAGTCATAGACACAGTCATCGTTTGTCCAAAGCAGAAGGTGATTAGGTGGGTAAAATCAGTAGTCCACTACCCAAACTGGTCAAGTGAGAAGACCTCACGTCTTATTGCGTGCTCTTCTTAATGTCCTGCTCTTACTTTGCATCTCGTCTCCCAAAGCAGGACACCTTTCACATTTTCATCCTGGTTGTTGCACTTGAAATTATATCAAAAAGCTATTTTCAGCAGTGGTGGATAAAATTAAGATGTTTGTAAACAACTGTGTGACTGTACAACTTTCTCAGCAGAGTAATTAGAAACACAGCTTGATACCAGCTCTATTATTTCTAATACAGATTTTATTCAACAACTCACTCTAGATGTAAGTTCTGGGTTTTTTTTTTTCGACAAAGGCTTTTATTTTGTGATGGTATTGGGCTAAGAAAGGACTGCTTCTGTGTCACTCTGAAGTTCTTCGGGTTTTTGACCTTCAGCTGCAGCCAGTATTTACTGTTTCTTTACAAGATCATATTTTAAGTAATGTTGAATGCACCTGTGGCAATTGAATACTTTTATTTAATTTTTGACTGTATTACTGTAGTGCCTGAATGGAGATTGAGGAGAAAAAGGTTAAGAAAAATTGTGGCCAAGCTAAAATTTATAAAGCAAGCTCTTAGCCCAGAGTGTTTTTCAAGTTATTTTCAAATGGTAATTTGCTTTATCCAAACCAAACTCATACAGTGTAAGTAAGTGATTATTTGCATGACTGACAATCATTTCAGTGCCTGCAGTCTTTTTTAAAATGCATAATTTTGCTAGATGTTGGGAAAATATTTAAAAATTCTGAAGGCAAAATAACCAGAATGAGTTTTTTTTTTCTTTGACCTCTTTTATTTTGCGTGTGAACATCTCAGGGTGTGTTTGTGTCTGAAACATAATCTTCATTTGGATTTGGGAGAGAGGTGATCTAAGCAATCATCCTCGTGCATGTGATCTTGATCTTTTAAAGATTATTTTAGATTTATATTGCAATTTTAGGGCAAAATAAAATATATCTGACTCTTGATCAAAGCCAGTATCATAAAGGAGCACGTCACAAGAGTTAATCCTGGAACGTATCTACCTTTTAATGGGATTACTGTAGGTGATGGGTACACAAATTAGTGCAAGCAGCATAGTAAATGATCACTTAAGAGTGAAAGTATAATGATGATCTAGGAAATAGTTGTGAATACTGTTAGAGGTACCATTATACATGTGTGTAATGTATATTTAAATATTTCAGATGGGCATCTAATCACTGCTTTTCTACTTCTGAGAGGAAGTTATCGATGCTTTTCTTATAAAAATTCTTCTTTTTAATAAATATTTGTCATAAGGGCATATGTTGGTGTTCCCAGAGCAAACAACCAGGGTGTGGTCCTTATCTGACAATGGGAAGAGATGAAAGGATTTGAGGATTTAGCAGAATAAGAAATTTACTGACCTAATCCTCCTGTTTTCTGGTTCTGACAAGGACTAGCTTCCATATTGCCGCAGCTACTCCTTATGTACTCATCCTCTGTCATTGCTGACTTGGAATTCTCCTCTTTATACATTCCGATGGAATATATTATGTAGACATACATATTGGGGTACCTCTAAGCTTGGAGACAAATAAAACTCCAAGCTAAGGCTGTCACTTCATAGTGCGTGGGTGTTGCAAGGGATGTAGACCAGTAGCTGATCTTATGTGCCATACGTGCTATATATCGGCCTGTTTTTTTACAACACGGTGAATTAAATACATTGTAATTCACACTTCCATTGTCATTGGCTAAATTTCAATTTATTTTCTATTGTAAATAACATCCTAAATGGTTTTTTTTCCCTGTGCAATCAATAGAGTCTATTTTGATATAATCTGTTTTCATTTTTGCACTGGAAAACTATGGTCCGGGAAGAAAATCGCCTTTCCGCTGATGCTGTCTTTGATACTTCCATCAACGTATGTCAGCAGACCCCGCTGGAACGCCTCTGGAAAGTCTCGTAGATATTTTGTATGAATTCTCTCGGCCTGTCTGCATCCATGCTGTCTGCGGCAGTTGGCAAAGCGGGGTCAGAGTGGGTACTCCTTGGAATTCACTTCAATGAATATTATAATATGGATTTTGGTTATTATTACTATTCCTCTGTCTGTAGTATATCTTTATTATTATCACGATGTGGGAGGAAAAAAGATGATGTTTTTATAAGCAAGAATGAAGTATCATTCTAAGAGCTCAAAATGCACATTGGACTAAGGTGGAATAATATAGAAGAAACATGAGAGGGCGAGGATTACAACAGAAAGTAAAACCAGCTTCTTTTAAGCGGAACTTGGTAGTTAGTAACTTGTACTATCTTCCTTACAGATTTTGAAGTAGAATTAAAGATTTTAGACTGTTGTTTCTTCATTTGCTTTTGTAATTTAGTACAGTTAACAGGACACTTCAACCATTTGATTTTATATTTTTTTAATTATAGCGTAAGAGGCAGAATTTGCCATTTTAGAGAGTACTTTAGGGCCAGTCAAGGGAGTTCCTGACTAAAGTAGAAGTTTTTAAACGACAACGGCAGTATCTCTTGTACAGAAACATGACTGTCACGTGTGGAGGAGCCTGTTTTGGGGAAATAATAAAAAAAAATTGCATCAGTTGGACCTGGCTTGCAGGGCCTAAAGCAGAAGTTTTTAAACGACAACAGCAGTATCTCTTGTACAGAAACATGACGTGTGGAGGAGCCTGTTTTGGGGAAATAATAAAAAAAAATTGCATCAGTTGGACCTGGCTTGCAGGGCTGAATTTCAGACCTCTGTTTAGATAACTAAGAGGTTCCCCTTTCCTCTGTAAGCCTAACACTATGGAATAGCTTTGCTGTGCTGGAAAAGTACTGATGTCAACAAGCAGGGAGAGACTTGAATCCACAAGAGCCCAAAGCTATAGATGGGCACTGGGGACGTGTCCGCTGCACGGAGCCGTGCTCTGCAGCGGTACCCAACTGAACTGTCTTCATATGGGAAGCGGTGTACCTTAGAAGAGCAGTTTTTTGCTCATTAGCCTTCCAGTGAAATAGCATATATTAGCTTAGGTGGAGTACTATGCTAATGATAGTGATTCTGGTACGGAGGGTAGCTACCGCCTTTGGTGGTGGCTCAGGCATCTCCGCAGTGTGCCGTGCGCTCCCTGGTAGACATTGCCTCCCTGCCACCACGGTTTATGGGTAGTTAGCATAATTAGAAAAAGCCAATAGACTTCTCCTACCTTGGGGCTCGCTGCTGAAGAACCGGCTGATGGAAATTACTCCTCTGAATCTCTTCTCCTCACCTGCCGCAAGGAGGTTTTGAGGGTTGGTGTTGGCACGCTAAGAGTTACGCAAGAAGGACCAGGGATGCTCTCAAGATCTGGGACACGGCACCTATTGGGAGGAAAGTGCAATAGTGGATTAAAAGGGCTATAAAATGGAGTTCTTCAGTTCTGGAGCCTTTGGCAGTGGGTCGGTTACCTTCTGCATCTCTGGGATAAGTGCTAAGTGCAGATAGCCGCACCTCCAGCGAGGG